GTCCGGATTGAACGTTTTGCATGTACATGCAGAGCATTGGGACGGCTACAATGGCTGTCAAGGTAGCAACGGTGGAGACAGCTACTCCGAAGAAGGCGAACTTCTTTACGGATTCAGCCTCGATGAGCTTTTGTTTGTCGTCCATTACCTTCTAGAAAGGAACAATTTTATAATTGCATGACTTCAGAAACATCTTAATTTATATCAAAGCAATGAATAGATTCGAAGAATGCATGAGATAATTAATTGAGAAGCAGAAGCTGGGTATGATGGTATAGCCGGGATTTCAGGCCTTATAAAGGCCCGGCTGGGCGTTATATCCATAAAAAGTGGTCCTTTGGCTAGGTACCGGATAATGGACTGAAGTGAACTTTCTAAAACGTCTAGTAGGGATGGCTATCCGTAGTTTTTATGGTAAGGCCCGTCGCGTTTTTTGTAAGCCCTGTTTGACCCCAACTATTTCCAACCGTCCCCGTTGTTTCTTCGCAAATAGTTGAAGATGAATCCTAAAAAGGAAATTCATTCTGTTTCAAATTTGTCCATTCCAAAGCTTGTGAGTGAAATAGTTTCATATATCTTCAAACTGATTTTCATTTGAATATTTCAGATCGTTAAGTTCTATGCGATCAAATAAGAGTGAGACGTGGTTAGTAGTAATCTGATGCAATGAGTTATACTTATATGAGCTTCTACTACTCTGGAACATACGTTATGCCAACCCTTACTATCAATTCTCTTATTGAAATGTAATTATTCAATATCCTTTCACTTCGTTCCACGCAGTGGGCGATTTCGGATAAAAAATTGAAGATAATTGATAATGCAATGGATGAAAGATGTCATTCTACCCGAATTATGGATTTGGTGGTTATGGTGAAATCTTTGATTCCTTACATGCCAATAGTTTTTCATTTGATAGAACAAACCTTATTTGGAAATGATCAAATAAGCCATGTGATCAGTTAATTCCTTTATAACAGGATTTTCATTTAAATGTTAATGAAAAACTAAATTATCGCTGGTTATCACTCGTTTTCTGACTTCCTTCAACCAGGAAATTCCATTGAAACAAGTGATTCTGTCAACTTCAATGTACGTGATGACAACCTCTTATAAGGTAAGCTTCTTCCTTTTTTCATTTTCATAATCCATCAGATGTCTAACCATTCTGTTGTGATAAGTTCTTCCATTTTGTTGTTTTTTCACTTGCAAGAACCCATCGGTCGTATTTGGAAACAGGTTATGAAGCTTAATTCTCCAAAAATCTTTTCATAAACGTTCATGACCATCAATTCCTATTACCTTTCTCCTCTCATTATCTCTTCATTCCATCGTCATCTATCCACAAGAAAGGAATATCATCATCTATTTTGTTCACAAAAACCAGGACAACAAAAAAAATGAAAAGAAAATGTGACGAAAGTGAAGATAGCTCTTCTTATAAGACATTTCTCTTTTTTTTATTAAAAAACTTAACTTTGAAATATTTGTGAAAACAGGGTTTGCATTCCTAGAATGGTAGCCTTCTGCGCACTTCGTTCATATTCTTGTTTGTAACCCTTATTAGTTGTTGGAAATTCTCATTGCATGTCATCTATAGAACAAATCTTATAATCTTTCGCTTTTTTCCACTTCAGGCTTTTCTCACGTTTGCACTATGTTCATCACAGAATAACATTGGCAGTGCATTAGGACGGATATGAACGTTCTCTGCTCTTGTAGTTTGGAATTGTAGTTTGATTGACTCTGTGACACCACACCATACACCGATTTGTGCATTTCGGCACTTTCTGCCAACTTACAGTGGTATCGATTGATTCTCATGCTATTTATATGGTTATGATTATTTGAAATACTCTGAACCGCCAGAAAACTACTCAAATAGCTCCGCCTACTTTTTCCTAACATAGCTGTCAGTTGGTGTTATGTGAGAAGTGCGGGTGTGTGAATGTGAGAATGAGGGATTTCAGAGAGAGGTTATCTTTTTCTCTTCGAGAGTTTAGTTCGTTTCTACATAGCATAATTGAGAGATATTAATATTTGTTATTTCCGAGCACTGTGCCAGCCACTGTTATCAGAGATGTGAGAGTATGTAAGGGATGTCCTTAGAGCTGTTACGAGGCATGTGCTAGCTTTGAGAGATCAGTGCGATATGTACTTACTTCTCTTCTGAAGTAGCATGTATGCTGTGCTCAATTTGTTCTCTGATAGAGAATGTTGTAGAAATCAGTGAAAACTGAGTCTATTCATCCTCTATAAGTGACTTAGAAACCTTTCTGAAATTTTGGTAATGGCTTAACCCTAGTTTTGATATTTTTTGCTTATTTTCGGTTCTGATCAGTAATTGTGAGAGATATGGAGAGAATGAACGTTGTTCGTTGTGACAGTTTCCTACCACTCGTTGTACGAGTTGTCTCGGCTCGAGAACCTGGATTACCAATTTTTGTAATTGTATAGTTTCTGATTTGGTTTTCTTACAGCCTGTTCGTTGTATTAGCTCTGATGCTCTTCAATTTGAGAAATGGAAACATTCGAAGGTTTTTGGAAAATTTCATAGATTACTAGACCTTGCGCAGAGGAGCGAATGAGTGGGGAGTAGTGTATAGGAGAGAGAGAGAAGACGCCTTAGAAAAGGGTTTTGAGGTTTCTTAGTATTTGAGGGTTCAGTTGGCTACTCCAATGACTGTTTTTGATATGTAAAAGGAATTGAATGTATTGAAGACCTTAATGAAGTACGATTCATTCCATCCCAAAGTTATATGTGAGTGAACCATCTTACCCCGTACTTCCGAGGATTCCTGAAAACCCTTATCTTCTCCAGAGCCACGGATCATCTGTTGAA